TAGGGGGTACAGATATCGACGAAGGAAGAGAAGGAAGGAGAGGAGAGGGAAAGGGGAACTAGGCGTACGCTCGAGAAATCGATGTTGTACGTGCTAAGTAAAGTTTTCGGTCTTCTCACTCGAGCTCTTTTTTTCGCTTTACTACCGTTGCTTTGTATTTGTCTTGTTCATGTTCTCTCGCGAAGAAAGAGAAACGTATAAAGTCAACAGCTCCATTCCTCATTCTAGAATCCGCGTCCCTTAACTTGTAATAAAAGAAAATGTCTCGAGGATTACTAAGAGTGTGTAAATAAATTAAAACTTGAGAAACAAATAAAGATATAGAGATTAAAAATACAGCATGTACATATATAAAACACTATGTACTTGTAGTTTACATAAAATTACAGGGAACTCGCAAAAACGTTTATTAAACATAAAATTGAAAATTATAACTTTAAAAATCATTCTTGAGTCCGTCCGGAAAAGTTATCATAAAATTGAAACGAACAATGTAATGGTAAGTCAACGGCACACGATACTATTTTTCTTACTGGATTGCTTACGAGAGCCAATAAGGATGCAGAGTTTTAAGCCAACGGCACACGATACTATTTTTCTTACTGGATTGCTTACGAGATCCAATAAGGATTCAGAGTTTTAGATCAGGTGACTTAAAGCTAAATCCTGATTGGCTCTCGTAAGCAATCCAGTAGGAAATGTAGTATCGTGTGCCGTTGGCTTTACATCAGGTGACTTAAAGCTAAAGCCAACGGCACACGGTACTATTTTTCCTACTGGATTCCTTACGAGAGCCAATCAGGATTTAGCCTCAAGTCACCCGATCGAAAACCCTGCATCCTTATTGGCTCTCGCAAGCAATCCGGTAGAAAAAATAGTGTGTGCCGTTGGCTTAAATCCTGATTAGCTCTCGTAAGCAATCCAGTAAGAAAAATAGTATCGTGTGTCGTTGGCTGTGGTAATCAAAGAGATAAAAAGAAATGAGAATGACAACAGCTATTTTAGTGTGTATTATACTGTAAAAAAATCCTATTGTATTCGTATTAATTTAATGTCAATGAAATTCACACGACATGGACGTAGTATAAACGGACCTACCGTGCACTCTGTCAACTGGTGAAGCCAGTGAGACAGAGAATAAAGGGACTTCATTGCTATGTTTAAGTGTATTCTTTGACACATGGACAATTTTGACAGCTGGAGATAGAACATTTCCACTTTTCTATTTTATAGGTAAGTACACAAGAAGGATATTTTCATTTACATATCCGTTTACGTTCTCGATTTAATACTCGCCCAGAGAAAAACATTTTCATTTACATTTTCACAGGTGAGTAGCCTGAAACTAATTTTTTCTTATAATCAGAATTTGCGACTACTATAATGACGAAAACGTGAACGTAAACGTTCTTCTTTTAGAAAGAATAGTACCGTGTTCTATCTGGAAAGTGATCAAAATTGTCCACGTGTCAAAGAACACACTCGAACATAGCAATGAGGTCCCTTTAGTCCCTGTCTCACTCGGTTATTCTGGCTTCACCAGTTCACAGAGCGCCTGGTGAATCCGTTTATACTACGTCCACGTCGCATGAATTTCACGAAAAGGAGGAATGCGATTGTTCAGACTATCGTGCAATTTGAAACATGCGTGTTCGTAAGTGATGAGGAAAGTTATCAGAGAGTGATATGCAGATGCAAAGATTAGAATTTATCGGGAGGAGCGATTGAAGCCCGCGTGCCGTAACAGAATCAGTCAGTAGGAAATTACGTAAAATCGTGGAGATAGCGAGGAATAGTCGCTCTCTCTCTCCGGATCTCTACTTACTCCTACTTCTCCGTAATCTGGACGATCGGGCGCAGCTGGCAATCGATGACCGCCTCTGTGACCCCCGAGTACCCCCGTGCCGCCGATGCTCACGCCGCGCCTCTCGTCGATCAGGAATATTTCCGTGAGGACGATCAGGCCGAACACGGCGAAGAACATGACGACCAGCATGAACGACATGTTGGCACGCTCCTTGAGAACGCCAGCGTTCGCTCGGCTCCCGCCGGAGCCGGATCTTCTGCTCGAGCCCATGCTCGAGGGGGTGATTCTATAAGCGACACTTCGCGGGTAGTCACTCGCGCCCATTCTCATCCGAAACACGGCAGATTTTTTAACAACATTAACGGTACGAGAGCTACACTTTACCAAGAGCAAACCAAGCCACGCGCTGTAACTTGTGTAGAACATTAATAAAAACAATAAGCCCATATTATAATAAAAAGCGACTTGGCACGAACAGCTGGCGAGACACAAGAGTGAAACTCGAGTAAAAATACTTTGGATTTTCTATTATTTTATACGAAATAACTTTCTGCAACCTTCCTCCGTATCGACAGACTGATGTCGAATCCTCTGTTTGTAATAATTTGAAACAGATAGAGATGAAAGAAGGACGAGGCGAAAGTAATTTTCAGCGAAAGGCTTAACTGGGAAAATTTTAATTATATTTAAATTTATATTGTCGGTTACTTACTTAAAGTGGTTCCGAGAAAATCGCTGCTAAGCATGGAGATAGTTGCTCCTGGAAATAATTACGGAAATCATTAATTCATTTCTATTCCGAATAAAATGTTTCACGTTTTACGTTCAGATTCGCCGCCATTTGAATTCATATTATTCCACAGAATATCTCTATATAAATAATTTACTATTTCATTATCCGCAATACGCATTAATCGTGAAACGAAACGAATGAGGTTATCAATAATTAAAATTAAATCCGATAAAATTGTTGATATTAAATATAAAATCAATAGCCGTAAGATAAAAGATTACTTGGCTATTTATTTCACGATTGTTGAAAAACGATGGCTAATGATTTATCAAATTGAGCGAAGCTTATTGTCGCCAGTGGTAATTAAACAAAGGGAAAATTTTTGTAAAAGTCGACCAGACTGGCACAAAGTGATCTTTATTTAAGTCACAACGTTTCGACCTCTTTATTGGGTCCTTGTCAAGTACAATCTAATGTTGACTGAACAAATTAATTTATGGCGATACAGAATGAGTTCATGAGTCTGTGGCAGCAAATTCATAATGTCACATATGTCCTCGGTAATCAGTGGATTTTTACTAGCATTTTACTAGCAACCGTACGTTAGTGGATCTCGAATAAAACTGGTTGTGACTTAAATAAAGATCACTTTTTTGCACGTCTGGTCGATTTTTTTAAAAATTGTCCCTTTGTTTAATAATTTATAATCGAATCGAGCCAATTGAATCCTCGTATTAAAGTAAAATTCGAATATAAGTTTGTTTAAGGTATTGTCACTAGTCGAAAGGTATTGCAGAATAATGCAATCGCTAGGAGATAACGATAATTTGCGCTTGATAACTGTTGAACTTGAGACTATTTTTACGCTACAGCCAATTTCGTACCGCGTTTGGCATGAAAACGCGGTATCGGCCAAGTCGAGCATATTTTAACATGCGTATCTGACCGGACGTTAAAAGTCATGTTAATGCAATTCCGCGCCCAAAGGGACATCGTAGCATGAATTATCTGAACTTGCGACAATCAACAATCCTAATGACTGGGTCGCGTGCGACAGAACGCCTTTATTGAGAAGAGAAAGGAAACAGCTGTGCCGATGTTTCATCAAAGCACAGCAAAATTAATTAATTTCGCACAATAAAACTGTTAATTGTGAAGCTATTGTTTTTACACATTTATTATGTTTAATAATATTATACATCGCCACATTAATGAAACCGTTGACTATATAACTAAGGACTGCCAGTTACCTCCACCTTTCCTACTCTAACATGTAATCAACCCGGTACTTCAATTTTCATTCGACTACAAATGAAACGGAGAGCACTACAATCAACTGCAAACGATTCTAAAGAGAATCGCGCAAGTGGATTTGTAAAATCTTAAAGTCGGGTGCGAGTCATTTAAAAAAAATTTTTATAACTTATAAACTATAATATAAAACTACAAATAAAATTATTTTTACTACAAACAACAACAAACGAAATGCTACCATTTTACTTAAAAAAAAATTAATTTTGGAAAAGTCGAGTGCCACACATGTACTTCAGTGACATATCTTGCTCACGTATAGTACATATGTGCACATACGTGAATGCATGAATAAACAAGTCAAAGGTTTAAACAGCTCTTGTAAATTGTTCTAAACAAAATGCTTATATAGTCAAAGGATGAAACTATCAAATATACGAGTATTATTTGTTCTGACTCTATGATGTTAATGATGATTTTTCGGTAATATAATTTGAACTCGCGAAATTACTCTCACTGTCTTCGTCGAAACGTCGGGACGTTCTCCATCACGAAAATTATAATCGCAGATCTGGTTAGGCATTAATAAACTAAACCTACATTAGTTCCCGTCATAATCAGATCGTTATCATTCCTGGGCGATTTTGTTTCCCGGCGAGCGTTTTATAGAAAGAAATACACTCTTTGCGCGAAGACTTGCCACTGAAGATTTACGTTGCAATTTATCTTCCGGGGACAGGTTTCGCCGTTTACACGGGGCACTTTATAAAAGAGCAATGCAGTCAAATCCGGTGCTATGTACACAAGATGTCTCGGATCTAGCAAAACATATTTTCAAATCTTGGCAGTTTATACGAAAAATAGAAACTAGCCGTGACTTGGAAAGCTACGAACGAATGTAACTTCGCTTTACTATTGTCATTTAAACGTTTCTCCTTTAAATCTCCAACAGACTTTTTATTTGGACTTTACTTATCAAGCGTAGCGTTAGAAATGAAAAAAAGTTGCGGTGAATAAAATGCTATTTTCCGCCAAGATCCGATTCTGAATAATTATGCTAGTAATGTAAACACTAATAAGTTAAAAAAATGCAAATAATTCTATCTCATTTCTTTCTTTTAGATTTGACGTTAAAATGGATGCACGGAGAGAATTTTCTCTTAAAATTTTTACCCAGAAAATCATGTAATTGTGGAACAACATGGCATTTCGAACAACTTTATGAAAATTTTCTGAAATTTTATCGTACATTTTACTAGCAAAATATACACTAATTGTAAGTATACTTACTAGTGAAATGTACGGTAAAATTTCAAAACACTCTCATCAAATTCTTCGAAATGCCGCGTTGTCTCACGATTTCCAGGAGAAAATTCTCTTCGTGTACTCTTCGATATAAACATGTACATCTGTTTTTTATGATTTTTTTCAGAAATTAATAGAATACAGATTTTCGTCAAAATGAGATTTTTCTCATTTTGACGAACAATATTACAAAACTATTGTCACATATTATTGCATAATATATTACACACTAATCCTGTCTTTAATACGGACCAATTCAATATTTAGTATATATTAGAATTTATACAACACACACACACACACGTTTGCTTTTTTGATATTATAACATGACAGTACGCATAGCTTGACAGAGCGTGCGAAATGACGCGTGAGAGACCGCATCCGTTACGTGATATTACGATGGCATAATAATTCGTCAGCAGAAAGCCGCAGTGGATAAATCCTCGTACAGTCAGCCGTAACGAGCCGGTACTAACTTTCGACTGCTTCAACTCACGACTGACTCGCTTTTCACTACTTCATCCGCACTCTCTTTTTACAAGCGCCGAAGGAACAAGCATCCGGGGCTCTCGTCGTTTCGAGACCTCCGCTGCTACACTGGTTTTGCATAAATGAAGAAGGCGACCTAAAACCGAGACTCCGGGCAGAGAGAAGTATCGCAATAAATTAGCAACGCCGTTTAACGCTGCTGCCGGCGGATAATATTACGCCAGGGCGCGAATGAACAACGGACCTTTCCTACGTATTTAATCACGAGCAACGTTGAAGAACGACGCGAAATTACGATCTCGAAGATGCCGAGCTCGCGAGAGGAGCGTCGCATCGAAAGCGTGAAATTTTCCAACACTTTTCGTTAAGAGCTCCCTTTATTTTCTCGTTCTTGCGCCATGTATGTACGTTCCCCGTGAGGAAGAAATCAGAGTGGAAAAGTATCGGACACCTGATTTTTTGGGTAATAGGAATTTGCATTCTTTATATCCAATCAAGGTACAAGTTATTTGTTAAATTAGCGTTCGTTTCATGTGTATAAAACAATTTATTAAGAAACCAAGCGCCATCGAGCTCTTCAAAGAGCTCTCACTCGAACGTAATTATTCACGGCCTCGTGGCCAAAGCAACAAAATAACCTTCTTCTTCCCCCTCGTGCGTTAGGCTTAAACTGTTTTATCCAGTTCGTTCTGGTACTTAGAGTATTTGGGTTTACTTCATCTTCGGTAGGCTGCTAACCTTGCCGAAGGGAACCTCCCATCTGGAGGGGCTAGACCTCTAAAGGGGGGCAGTAATCCATAGCGATAAGCAGGGGTGTAACTTCGGGGAGGTAGGCACTTATTAATTTTCGGCGAGAAAAATACCGGATTAGGACTGGACCGGGATTGCGAACCTGGGACCTTCCGCATTGTCCGGGCGAATGCTCTTCCAACTGAGCCACCCAGGCCCACTATCCAGTGTGGCAGGATACTCTCGGTGGTTGCGCCACTTCCCTTCGGGCGATTCGTAAAAACCCAGCGGTGTCCGTGGACTTGAACTCGGATCTTTTCGTTCATTTGTTTACTGAGCAGCGCACATTTCTCCGCGCCACACTCGCCACCGATAAAATAATCACGAGTGAATAAAGTGCGGGCGAACGTTTGCCTTGAACGTTATTGTAATCAACAGTCGTGCTCCTTTACCCCACCATCCCCGCCCTCCTCCTCTCGGCGCATATTTCTCGGTTTATATCGCACGGAAATTAGTACGGAAGGCCCTGAGGGCAATCCGGTCAGTTTGACCGCAACGGATATTATTTCCTTCCGCCTGTTGCACCGATCGATTCCTTTACTAGGCCATAATGTGCTCCAACATCGGAAAATTTCCTCCGCTTTCTGACGTCGTGACCTGTAGGTAACACAAGACACCGTCCAAGATTGCAAACTAGCGCTCCTACCATCCCGCCGTCTCAAAAGGACCTATCGGAAGCGATTATCTTGAAAGAAATCTCGGAAGGTTAATGCTAAAAATGTAGGAAAATTTGCACACTCTTCTACTACCGGGAAGAAACTGTGTCACGCGACATTCTCGGAACGTACTTTTATTCTTCCAACGATTTTGCGTCTATATTCGTAGTTTCCGTTTTAAGAACAAAGAAAGATAACGAAGAATAACACAAAGTAACACGGTTGCGATAAAATATCAGTAAGTATATCAAGACGAAAACAACCGATATCTTATCCTGTTGCTTGAGAGAATAAAATGTTTCGGGGAAAAAAAGTAAAATATTTTTAAACTGTTTTCAGTGTACGCGGGTTTGTAATGAGAATCAAAACCGCGGAGAAGTACACGCGCGTGAATAATTTAAAACTAAAAGAGACTGCACAGAATGACAAAAAAAAACAACTCCGAGAGCCTTCGCCACGAATGTACGAAATTCGTTATAACTTTTCCCAATACTATTAATTTTGTAAAAATGGTCTCTTTCGTTTTGCGCCTAATTG